CTGCAAAACATTCCCTTCCTCAACTTCGATCTTAACTTCCTCCTTCTTCAGTCCCGGAAGATCAGCCTTGAACACGTGGCCTTCCGGAGTCTCTTTCCAGTCAATCCGAGTGGCGGCAAATTTAGATGTCTCGTTAGAAATGTCTAAACGAATTGGAGCGGAGAGGGCTGAACTAAAAGGCCAATCCTGAAAAGGGTCCCAAACGTCGAGAGAGAATGGGTCGAAAACGTTGCTTCGTCTGCTGAAAACACTTGGAATCAGAGACATTTTCTGATCGTTTTTCGAAGGGTGTTTTGAAATTTCTATGTAAAAAAAAAAAAAAACACGCTAATGATTTGATTTTGCTTGAAGGTTTGTTATGAAGATTGCTTACCGGCCGACCGGAGATGGATGTATTTATAGTTCAGGGAAAGGGTAAATGTGTAATTATATCGACGAGTTGAGAGAATTCGAGATAATACATTTGAGAGAGCAAATATATCGGAGAAAACGAGAAATATCTGGAAGCATCCCAGGGAGTCTGAACTATTATTAGTGGGCTCCACTTTCATTTCTTTTTTGAAATATAATTATAAAATATTCTCTAAGAATAATGTTACCTGCTCCACTTTCATTTCTTTTTTGAAAGATAATCATAAAATATTTTCTAAGAATAATGTTACATTTTATGAAAATTATTGTGTTGTATGTTATTATTAAATGTTATAAATGGTAAGAGTAATATTTGAATATTTCTAAATGTTAATTAATTTAAAATTAATATTAAAAAATATCTGTGTGACAATGAAAGTTAGATTATTTATTTAATTTTCAATTAAGTAAAACTAGATGTTAATCAGTATACATGAACCTGAATAATGAAATACATTATTGAATGTGAAATTCTAATTCACTTATAATTATAATTAATAACACTGAAATGCATAAATGGATATGAATATTACTTAATTAAATGAATATGAATATTAATTAATTGAAAATTAATAATAGAGAATTCATTCATAAAAAAATATACATGTAAAATGAATATGTCAAATGTACATTTACATTGATAGTAACTAAATAATTAAATATATATTGAAAAATGAAAATTAATTTATTATTGAAATAATTGAATTATAGTAATGTTAAAATCGTTTAAAAAAATTATTCTAAGTTGATATGATATTTAATATATTATAAATAAATATGAAATTTTCTTTAAAATTGTACACGCAAAGGAGTCGCTCAAGTTGCTTGTCCCAAGAATCATGATTGTGTGATAAAGAAAGTTAAATTTTATTTGGTGAATATCGCTTCTCGATAAACATAACATCCTCTCAGTAATTTGAACAGAAATGTATTGTACTTTGGCTTTAATAACAAAATTGATGAACACTGTTTGGTCATAAGGTTTGAGAGAGATTCAATTTATACATGTTTGTTCAGTGTTCTTAAACTTGACCAAAACATAAAATTGTAAACGTTTAAGGATCCAAGAAAAAATAATTCATCGGAGTTCAAGGAATGGAATTGGGAACAAAGTTGTTGCATGGGCCCTATACAACGAGGGGCGCCGCATGTACAGGACCCATGTCACAACCCATGGAATTGAAGGTAAAAATTAAGATTAGTAGCAGAAAACTCCTTGGAAACGTTTTCATTTGTGGTATATCTTATTATCTATCGAAAATCACAGAAAATCCCCCATAATTGAAACATTTTGTGCGAAAAACTTCCTACCGTCAAATTTACAGTTAAAAACAGGAAAAATGTCAAAACTAAAAAAGTAATAATTGCAATTTTAGTATCCAAATTTTTTATTTTTTTACAAATTATACGCAATTTTTTTTATGTACCACCCCACCCCACATCATCTTTTTCCCCAAAACTTCATTTTCATCTTCCAATTCCTCCACTACTTAAAACAATCTACAAAAAAGTTGGAATTTTAGATGCAATTAGTAAACCATCAAGCTTAATGTAAGCTTAAATGAATTAGATTATAATTTTAACCGACGAGTAATTCTCTCTCTGATGGACGAAATGACGGCGTATCTACACATTGAGCCTTCGAATTTTGACCTCATCGTCATAGGCACTAGACTCCTGAAATCCATTCTAGCCGTCGCCTCCTCCGTTGCTGGTAAAATCGTCCTTCAGCTCGATCTCAACTCATTGTACGATTCTCACTATGCCTCTCTTCCCCTCCAAGACTTCATCTCCTTCCTCCAATCTCAGCAGCTCCAATATCTATCATCTTCCAATCCCCAAGTTCCTCAAACTGACAACACCAAAAATTACGTTTGTGCCCCTCATATTGCTTGCCTCCTCTACTCATCACAAGAAATCAACTCCTACTCTTTCGAGCCCCTCGATAATTCGAAAAAATTCTGCCTTGATTTGGATTTAATTTGTAAACAAGTAAAAGTTTGGATATCGAAATTGCAATTTTTCCCTTGTTAATTTTGGCATTTTTTAATGTATTACCGACAAATTTTGATGGATATTGACGGTATGATGGTTTTTCACACAAAATATTTCAAATATGAGGTTTTCTGAGATTTTCAATAGGTGGGGCTATATCCAGGGGCGGAGCCAGAAAATATATTAGGCTGGGCTGAAATTTTTTTGTCAATGAACTTGTACACTAAAATATGTTCTAAACCACACGATAAAACAAAAATTGGACCCAAAAT